GATTTGCAGGTAATTCCGAATCTGGTGCGAAGTCTCACAGAAGACGTTAAAGCACGTTCCATCATGGTCAGATCTTTATCATCGGTTCGTGATCTCGCAATTAGCATTCAAAAAGCTGGAGAACTAGTTAAACTTAGTAAAGGTATCTTTTACACGATCATTTTATCACCTTTTACGTAACTCATCAATTTTTTATACTTTTCAATGCACAGGGTCCCCGAATGCGATCGCTGCTGCACAAAAGACCATTCCTGCGGCCCTCCAAGTTTTGGAAAAGTGTATGACAGAGGCTTCAATGTTGGATAACTCCGCCATTAAGGCATTTTCCGAACAAACTCATCAACTCTTTGAAATAATTGGCCCTGAGGCTGCCAACTTTGTCAAACAAAAGGCTGACATTGAAATTCTTCTGAAAAATCAATATAAAACACAAGAAGAATTTGCCACCGAACTAGCTCATTTGCAAGGTAAAATTTTGGTTTTTCTTGATTTATGGCAAAAAAAACAATGCGATATAAATCAGTAAACAATAATAACTAAACGAATGTGAAGGTGTTTGAGCCACATGCCTGTAATAAGCATCAAAATAAAAAAAAATGTTCACAAATAATAATTACATGGTGTTAAATAGGTTATTGAAATATTTAGGAGAATTCGAACGTTTCAGCCATCTGATACACGCCACTGACAAACAAATAAGTGGAGTGGAGAAAGCATTGGAAGAAACAAAGCGTCGAACTGAAGAGATGGCCACTCTCAATGCAGAAGTCGAGCGAACAATAAAATCTATTCCAAATACTATTCCACAAACTGTCTATACGACAACTCACAGTAGTAGTGGATGGTGGCCCTGGAGAAAATCCTCTTCTACCACAGTAGCAAATACCGTAATGGTACATGATCAAGCTATTCATTTTTCATCGCTTTCCATTCTTGGATAGCTGTTACTTGTATGGTACTACTCAAAATTCTCAGGAAAGGATATTATTTTTTTATTTAATGTTGAGCATCTAACCCACATTCAAATAGTGATTTGGACACTCAATGAAGTCCGCAATCAGGTGCATTATATATGATCATTTCATGAATGGAGTATGTGAGTGAGGATTCTAAAAAACCAAGCACGGCACTTCTTAATGTCCCGGAAGGTTTTGTCAGAGCTAACGTTTTAGAGTAGCATCTGATTGAGTATGAAATTCCGAACAAACTGAAGGATCACCGCGTTTGCTACGATCTGTCTATAAAATGGTTACAGGTATGACAAAACTGGAAAAATGCTTTTTGTTTGTGTCGATTTTTTCGTGAAATTTCCTTTCTTTGTATGATCTCGAACTATCTAATGGAAGATCGTAGCAAACGCAGTGACTCTTCATTAGTTTCAGAGTTCTGTGCTCTTTCAGATGACTCACTTGAAAAGTAGTTCTCAAAAAGCCTTCTGGGATCTAAAAAATACTGTATTTGGATTTTTAGAGAACCCATTCGCTTAGTCCATTCATAAAAACCTCTTATATTTTACATCTTATCGCGAACTTCATTGACTATTCAAGTCACCATTCGAATATGAGTCAAATGCTCAGGATCATATTAAAAAAATTATCTTGTTCTTATAATTTGGAGTAGCACTGTATTATCAAGGTTTTATGATTACGATTTGTAAATATGTATATAATTTTCTCAATTAATAGGTGCAAAACCCAAATCGAGAAGCTGAAATGAATTATTATAATAGTATGATAAAAGCCAGAATGGAGCGTATTAAAGGAAATAAGGACGATGAGAACACGCAAATGAAAGTCAAAACCGATCTGGATAACTGCTTGAGTGATTATAAGAGCAAGCATGAAACTATTCGGAAACAACTTGAAGAGTACAATAAAAGTTTTCCAGAAAAGATGGGGTCTGTCCAAAAACAGATTACTTTATATCAACAACAACTGGAAGATATTAACAACACTGAACATGATGTCACTAGCAAAGTTGGACACTACGGAAGCAGTCTCATTCAATGCTTGATTGAAGTTCGAAAATTTGCGCAAAGTCTCAAGGATGGAGCTTCAGCATATTCTCCGCTTGTTTCGATCCTAAGTGGTATGTAAGATGTTCTTTGTTTTGAAGTTTTCAGCAAGGTTTTATCTAGATACTTCATGTAAAATGTGCATGTTCTTTTAGCGGTGAAAGCGTCCGTAGAAAATGAAGTTATTCTGCTCCAGAGTCAAAGTGATGTTGATGTCTTTCTTGCTGGAAACCGTCTTTTGCATCAAGTTAAATTTCTTTCGAATTATTATTCTGCCACAAGTCAATCCATCCGATCTTCTGCAAAATACAACGCTTTAGCAAACGCGACAGAGTTCAAAGCTATCAAATCACCTAAGGCAATAGATGAATGATGGCTTTCATGCACACTAACCCATATTAATATGTCTTGTAACAAATTGATACAGTGTATGCAAGAATTATTGACTTTTTGTGTGTTGAACTTCTTGTTTTTCTTCTCTTTCTAAACAAAATAAATAAGAAATCTTAATATGCGATATTGAATTATAGAGCTTGTCGATGTCTATATTTATACATATTTACTTGTTGGTTTTATTTTGCTTTCATTTCTATTTGTTGTGGAATTCTCCACGAAAGCTCGTTAGCACAGCTACTAATGGGATACACATGTGAAACTCACATGAGCGATCAGACTCTAAATTACAGCACAGATTCAGTTCAAAATGCTCCCACTATCACCAGAACTTTCTGAGTCGATACTGCTATTACCTATCATGTGATTATTTTGATCGAGTGATTGATGCAATACGAACGGTTGTCAGACATTGTCACGTGCACATTGACTATTTCTTGTTTAAGTGGCAATCGTTATCGATCACAATTCATTGTTTTATTTCGACCACTCATGGTGAAAATTCGAAAATCGTCTTGTTAGATGAATTAAGAAATTATTGGAGAATATCAATGGAGATGGAGATATTTCTTCTGCTTAAGTAGCTGATGCTCGAGAAGAATTTTGACGCAGTATTTGGTTTACTCTTGTTGAAAGCAAGACCAGCACAAGGTATTTCTTTTAAGCAAAGCAATTATACATGTTGGTTTTCTGGTGTGCCACTAATGCTCATATGAATAGCAAAGTACACTTAAATATATGTTCTACTATGTATATGGGGTATTCCATGGGATCTCTATCACAAAATATACGAGTATTTCCAAGTCGCATGAAACTTTCAGGACTGTTAGACCATAGTGAGCTATGAAAATCTCCGAGATCAGCTTTTTAAATTCCAACAATGAATAAGAACATGTTGAGCATACATTTTCTATATTTTTGTGTATAGTCACAAAAATTAGGATTTTTTCAAAGCGATTCTATACAAAAATTTATCATATTAAGCGCATTAAGTCTTACCTATAAATACATATTATATATATTCTGAAAGCTCGTGATCTTGGCTACACTTTGACTACAGAATATTGAGGTTTTGTAAATACTTAGACCATGTTATCCTTTCATATGTACGTGTATCAATTATGCAGTCTTGTACTAGAAAAATTTTCAGAAAAATAAAATTCCAGAGCTTGGCGAAATATAGGATTCTATAGAGAATCAATTGCTCTACAGCATGCACCGAAAGTTCAGTACCCAATGCACAGAACTACTGGAGGGTTTTGTACTAAAACTTCAAAACCTGCTTCAATTGACGGAACTTAAAATGATTTCGGAAACCAGTGTGAAACCTCTAGAGCTTAGTAGAAAACCTATTTTTTTAGAGTGTATCCGCATTTAGATAATTTTGAGAGCCAAAACCCGACTCTGTATTCAAACTTATACATATTCTTTCGAAATCGAATGCAGAAGCAAGATTTTTGAAAAGTTAGACACTACTTCTGAGATACAGTCGAAAGTAATCCAAAAAAATTTTCAATCCAATCGGACAAATCTCGAGAGAGATCGTAAACGAGTCCGATGTAGTCCTATAGAAAACCTTGTTTTCTCGAACACTTATCTTCTTATTTGAGGTGCGCTATCTCTAGTCAAAAAGCCTTTGCAGATTTCCTGAGACTTTTCATTTCATTGAAACTAATTTATCTCCAATATATGTTCGTTTTCTTTCGAAAGAGAAAAAAATTGACAATGAATATTGATCACATTTGTTCTATGTACATTCAATATTTGATTAAGTTGATTATGCTATTGGATTTATATCAAAATTAATATATGAACGTAAGCGTAAATGGATTGTAACTCCAAGTAGACCTTTATTTTCAAAAACGCGTTTAAAAGTACAAAACAGGGCTTAAAAATATATGAAAAGTGGACGTGCTTGACTCACAATCGTGCATCCCGACCGTCAGCAAAAAAAAACACTTGTAAACGATAAAGTTCATCTTTCATTGGTGTAATCGATATAAGTGGTTTTGAAATTTTTCAATTAAATTCATTAGAACCACTAGATAGAAATTATACAAATGAAACGCTTCGATAATTATTTAATCATAGTACAATATTTGTTCTCGTACAAGAAGAATATCGTTGTGAAAATATCGATTGAAAATTTATGAATTCCAGTTTTGATTTTCAACGAACAATTGATCTTATTGAAAAAGTAAATCAATGATGGAAACAAAAAAAAATAAATAATTCTAAATTCACATGCCCATCATTCAAAACTTGATAGAAAAAATCAAGTTTTTCACTTTTTTTTATTTTTTCAAAACTTTTTGTTTTTAGAAAAATCAAATTATAAAGCACCAGCTAATTTTAGTATAATCCATTATCTTTTTTGAAAACAGCTAATGACCCATTTACATGTGAATTATGGGAAAATGGTAAGATTATTTATTAGTTTTTAATAGAATAAATATATCTTAATATTTAACAATTATGTGGGCTCGTGTTCCTATTGAAAAGATATATCATTATAAGGTAGAAATAAATAAGAGAAAGATTTCATAAAACAATTGTTCGTTTTTTTGTTCTTTTCACTATTTTCTTCATAGTATTAGTCATTATTTTCTTCGTCGTATGTAGCTTGACATTGTTCATTGTTCACTCTTTCTTCCACTTGCATATAACGTTCGCCCTGTACGTTTATCCAATAATTTTTGAAACTAAACAGGCGTTTAGATCTCGGCATGGTATTTTGCATATGAAGTGCAATGCGTGCTCGTTCTAAGTGCCTTTGTTTTTGTTTAGAAAAAAAGTTAAGTAATAAAAAAAAGAAGCAATAAAAATAAATAAAACTAACCACAATCTTTTGGCACTTCTTTTCACATCTGCATAAGTATCACCCATCATAGCAATAAGTAAATTTAACAAAAGAATAGTAATAAGTACAACATAGAAGATAAGTATCATAACACTTGTCAATGGATATTCTCCTCCAATATAATAATCAAGGTCAAAATCACCCAATAAACTCAGAAAACATAGTTTGATATTTGATAAATAACCTTGGAACCCTAAAATAGATCGAAGTCAATTACTCAGAATAATAATTTCATTGTAAATTAAATTTTCTAGAAAAATTTCCCTACAAATAAAGTATTCATCCTTTGAAAAATTTTACCATATCCATTGAATAAAATACAAAATGATTGTGCGAAGCCAGCAAGAAAAATCATATATATTATAAAAAAACGAAGAATATCATTGAATAACATTTTATAAATCATAATAACAAATGGACCAGTAAATTGAAATGGCATAATAAAAAAAAACATATGACCCCATCCAATAAGAGAAGTAAAAGCAAGTATTTGAGTTTCATATTGTTGCATTCCAAATAGATGAAGAATTTCACAAGTAAATATACAAAAACAAAATGAACATACCAAACAATTTCCACGAAAAGTAGATCCCTAAAGCATTTGTATCAATCAATTAAATCTAAAACAATTAATCATTTACCGAATTTTGCCAATAATTACTGAAACCCAACCTACGCATTTCCTTTATTTCATATGCACTTCGTAATGCAGCACCTATTATTACCATGGTATGACCAAGTGAATAGAGAAATTGATCAGAAACACTCAAATGCTTGCTACTTGTAATTCCTGTTTTTTCACCAAATTCACTCGCTGCCTAAAAAAATATATATTTCATAGTTAAAAAGTTTTGTAAAAATTACTTTTTCTGATCCTGTTTTTCGTAAAGTTGTTGTGGCAAGAAAAACAAGCAGATAGAGTAATGCCATAAAAAATCGTCGAACAAATATTCGATATGCAAAAGATCTCCATTTTTTGTCAATTAAAGATACAATAATAGGACTTATTAATTCTGCATTATTTTTTTTAATCATTATTTCAATTACACTAAGAGGTCGTTCTTTGTTCTTAAATAGAAATGTACTTGATAAAAATATTTCTGAATTTAACTCACGTCTTGATGAAAATCAATATCAAGTTGATTGAGAGGATGTGCTACACATGAAACAACACCATAAGACCATAGTGTTCTTTTACGTTCGTCTAGTAACCATGATAACATTTTGGCTTCACCTAAATCAGCTGCTAGAGTTAATGGTGTTAAACCATCATTATTTAAACGATTCCATAATTCTGGTAATTCTCTTGATTTTGAGTCAGTTATATTTTTGTCATTATGAATAGCCCGTTGTTCTATCCAACGAGCTTTGAATTTAGTATAAATTTCAGGTAAATTGGAAATAACAAGCATGTGCAGTATGGTATTATTATTACTGTCTGTCTATATTTAAATACAAAGAAAGCAAATGACTTTTAGTTTTTCAGTGAAATCCGAATGTTTTCGAAACCCGAAAACTTTGACTTAGATAGGAGTGTCTCATTTGAGATCTCATTAAAAATCAGCAGTGTTCAATATCTAGATTAGACAAGTGTGAGACTGCGATCTTAATTTAGACGTTTGCGGGGATGGAGACGAACACTATGAAAAAAAAAAGTTTTTGAAATCAAAATTGACACTGCATCAAAAAATATTTCCAAATGAGAACTAAAGATTATAGTAAAAATAATTGATGACTCTAAGCGAGTTGGTTTTTACACACTATAAATAAATTCTAAAATGGATTTGTCTAAATCGGAACTAAAAACAAAATTTGCGTTGAATATTTCTAACTCAAATATTTATCCTTCTTGACTTTGTACATGCAGTATTTCATATTTTTTTCTTTACTAACCACATCCATGTCAGCACCATATTTGAGTAAGATTTCAACAATATCCCATTGATTAGTACAACAAGCAAATCCTAATGGAACCTCACCATAATAAGACATTTCACCTCTATTAAATATATATATGAAGTAAAAGAGAAGTGAGAATTAACTTACATTTTAAAGAAACTACCGGTAGTTCTCGCTGTCAATAATTGTTGACGATAGGGCTCTAAACGATCATTACTAAGTAGCCATTCAACCATAGCTGGATTACGTTGAACAATTGCAATATGAAGAATATTCTCACCATGATATTTCTATAAAATTTATATGTTTCATTCAAATACAAAAATCATTTTAATATATTTACTGAGTTATAATAAGTTTGAGTTACGATCGTTGGAAATCGTAGAATAAGATCTCGAGCAATAGCAAAATGTGCATCTGTTTCACGCAGAAATAGTACATGAATAGGACACTCGCCAACAGCTCCTCTTGTATTAATAAGATCAGGATCAGCATCGATAAGATGATCAATTGCAATTTTGTCTGCATCATATACGGCTCTCCATATTGTATTATCTTCATGCATAAGTTCAGTTTGTTGTTCGACTTCAGCGTCATCTGAAGTAGCGTCATCATTTTGTAGAGGGAAAATAATATTGTTCATTATATTAGTGATGGAAAAGCTAATACTGTTTGCCATTGTTGTTGTAGAATTTAGAAAATATGTGTCGATATCAGTGTGGGTGTGGGTGTGGGTGGGTGTGGGTGTGGG